TATATACAGCTTCTTAAAGACAAGTATAGGAATATTAGTGACAAATAAAAACACAATAATAATTTTTATATCACTGCCCATAGAAAACAATAATTTGCTGAATAAAACAGTACTTATTAAGGGATTTTATTTTAAATAGTTGACAACAATTTGAAATCGACGGAGAAAATGATAATGCAGTTCTCCGGTAATGAAGTCATTGAAAGAATGCCAACAAAAAAATTGATAATTGAATGATTAGTAGAATGAAAAAAAAAAAAAAAAAAAAACCGAAATGTAATTCATTTCAGTGTGAACAGAACGATAATGATGTATCTGTGAATTGTGTATTCAGAATGAAGTTTTCTGTTTCCAGGTGTTGTGTATAGATGAAGCTACGGCCAGTGTAGACCTGGAGACAGACAAATTAATACAAGAAACAATCCGCCAGGAGTTTGTGGAGAGTACAGTGTTGACCATTGCCCATAGAATCAACACCATAATGGACAGTGACAGGGTGTTGGTGATGGACCAGGGTCAAGTGTCTGAACTGGACTCTCCAGAAAATCTTCTCAAAAATCCACAGTCTGAGTTCTACCAGTTAGTTCACGGAAAACCATCCGAGTAAAAAAAACTGATTCTTACCTTCTGATCTTTTCTCTGGGCTTAGCAATACCATCACTGTTCTATACCAGATACATTAAGATCGACATTGATGCGTGCTATAAACACAAAAAGTGACCAATTGCAATCTTGCCATCTGAGATGTTTCGCTCCAAGAATATTATTTCTAAATACAGACAATATACTACAATATCAATATTAATGATATTTGTCAATCTCTATGTTTATGTGTGATGAATTAGTTGTTATTGAAATGAAGCATGTAACTTTAAAGAATCCATGTTCCAAAGTCACAGCAAATACATCTACCAAATGTAAAATGTAATCCTACATCGACGAAACTGTGGTTTTTATTAACAATCGGGAATGTTCGTCAGGAATTGATATGAGGTGTTCAATATTATTTTTAATGGGTTAATATTTTTTGTCATATACCCAAGTTATTTATTGTTAAGTTTATGTATAGATCGGTTATCAGTGTTGTTTTTATTATTTTGTTTTTAACATTGTAATACATGTGATGTTTATTTTTGTGCGCAGAAATAGTGTTATTGTTTTCTGTTATCAGTTAAACATCGATATAAAGCAGGGTAATTATTTTGTATATGTATGTTGTAATGGAAACATTGAAAAAAAGTGTTTACCATGGTGCGGATGTATGGTTATGAAAGGGTTTAGATTGTGTGTTTGTTAAGTTTATGTATAGATCGGTCATCAGTGTTGTTTTTATTATTTTGTTTTTAACATTGTAATACATGTGATGTTTATTTTTGTGCGCAGAAATAGTGTTATTGTTTTCTGTTATCAGTTAAACATCGATATAAAGCAGGGTAATTATTTTGTATATGTATGTTGTAATGGAAACATTGAAAAAAAGTGTTTACCATGGTGCGGATGTATGGTTATGAAAGGGTTTAGATTGTGTGTTTGTTAAGTTTATGTATAGATCGGTCATCAGTGTTGTTTTTATTATTTTGTTTATTGTAATACATGTGATGTTTATTTTTGTGCGCAGAAATAGTGTTATTGTTTTCTGTTATCAGTTAAACATCGATATAAAGCAGGGTAATTATTTTGTATATGTATGTTGTAATGGAAACATTGAAAAAAGTGTTTACCATGGTGCGGATGTATGGTTATGAAAGGGTTTAGATTGTGTGTTTGTGAGCAAGCGAGACAGGAATGTTTATTTGTTTATAAAATGGACTGTAATATGGCACATGATTGGTGTATATGTACAAAGGAAAGAGTGATAAAGATATGAATAAATGGTGGTTTGTTAGTATTTCAAATGTTAATATTTTCTTCATGGTGCTTAATGCGTTTTTGATAATCTCCTAAACATGTCACATTTAATAAATAATTGAAATAATAACGTGTTTTCAGTTTTTCTATTCTGTTTAAAACTTGTGTGTAATAAATATATCAATGCAGATTATTCAGACTTTTCCTCCACTAGTCACCTATTAACGATAGCTATAAAACAACAATATACTACTACTTTTTATTGACTTAATGCGTGTATTAGATGTCTTTCATCATTTACATACTGTCAATAACAAATAATTACCAATACGTCAACGTAAAATGTCACCAATACAAAACGGCCTACAATGTATAATATCTTGTTTAATGATAAGTGATTATGATTAATAAGGTTCCAGTTTTATGCAAAATACTGGTAATATCATCATATTGCACCCCTCTATAGATATATAAATAAATAATTTATTCAATCCAGGTAAGTCATGTCACGTTTCCAAATGAGAACAAGGTAAACAATAATGGAACTAACAGGCATTCACGATCATCATTCATCACCGACGTCATATCGCAAGAAGAAATATGAAATTAATGTTTCTCAATGAAATTATTGTGACGACAATAAACTTCCATAATCTTCATCAACCCGCACCTCCTGAAATCCCGAGTTTCCCAATATCTAGCTAACACGTCTTTACTCAGAGCAGGCATCAATTGCAAGAGAATTAATATGACAATAAAGAAATCAGCTGTCTAACTTTGATATCTATAATGTAGGTTATACGTTATTACTGAAACAATGACTAAAGTACTAATGGTTCAGAAACAAGGAAAATGTCTGTTGGTATCGTTTCTTTTCGTTTCATTAGAAAGTAAACAAAATTAAATGTAAAAATGATGGCATACATCCATTAGTTTTACCGACAGGTTGGAAATCTTGTTTACAAAAGGAAACTGTAACAACCTTGGAACCATTTGAACATGTGTAGATTCGTTAGTCGTAACCTCAGGCAAAGCGAACGCATCATGATTACAGTATTGATAATGTGTATAAAAACTCTAATAAGTTTTATTTTATCTTGTGTCTGGGAATATAATTTCTTGTCATAGTGGTATGTAGATATATATTTATTTCATTTATTTAAAAAACATAAAGAAACAAGTTTTAATAGTTGTCCCATTTATAACTAGGAAAATTATGACATATGATCGAACTGATAGCTAACACCATTCACACATCATCAGCACTCTAGCGATAGTCACACTGACATACATGGGTATCTAGTAATGAAAGGTACCACCTTCACATGAGTGTTGACTGGTCAGTGTATTGTATAGCCCGGTTTAAGTCGGTCTAGTCACGGTTCACTGGATTCCAATCGAGAGTTACCTTTACCCTGGTTTTTCCATGTAATTCCCGGGGATAGGTAATCACAAACCATTCAAACGTCAGCACATTCTTATATGTATCGGGTACAGAAAACCTCAACTGTCCATATTCAGTACCTTTCAATCATAACGATTACACTAACGTCCAAGCTGTTTTCACAAGGAAATCTTCAGAGTGTAAAGAATGTAAATATAAGATTCCATCAGATGAAGATAATGCTGTTTCAAATTAGCTTTTTGTTTACCGAAACTTTCTTATCATGGTTTTGTTCAACATCGAATTTAAAACTACATGTGTGGTTTTGTTTTTATCTGAAAACTAAATCATCCATACATTCCATTAAATACACTGCGTGAAGTATAATATCTTTTTTCCGATAAGTAAATAAACAAATAGATATATATATATTTACTGTTTTTTTTTACTTTCAAACAAATTGGTGAGTGACCAATAACTATTTTTTTCCCAATTTTCTTTTAAATATTTCGAATAAATAAATTAACCACTTCTCTACCTGCCTGCATGGAGGTCATCGATAGTGTATATGTAAATTATTGGCTAATCGTAAAATGATTCACTAATGAAGATACAGAATATCTGTATACAATGAGGAAGAGTTAGACAGAAAAATACTGTCTATATCTCGAACTGGTTTATAACATTTGATCAACGCTTAATGTTGAATCGGGTGTTGGATTTTCGTACAACCGTCAGAGCTGCGATATAACTATTACAATTCTGGTATACAAAGCTTATTGTCAATATGTATGTATAGCACATGATGGTATGTGTATACACATCATGAATGAATATTCGATATGAAACCCTATTTAACGAGGTCAAACATTTATTGATTATATCTGATATCACACATATTTTGCAATATATGCATGTATCTCCACTTTGTAAATTTCTCCGGAAAATACAGATGAAAGCTGGATCATGTATATCTGAGTGACGAACTCTGAACGACAACACAAGTAAATAGTAACCATGTCTCCAATACACGAGCCATTTAAACTCACTTCATTGAATGGGTGTTCGATCTATACTAGGTCATACACCTACGTCACAAATGCCAGTTCTATTTACGTCTAAAAAAATCCCCTTAGTATAGAATCAGGGAAATCAGAAAGAGTCATGAATTCGGGTTTTTTGTACCAGATAGTTATATAAATGACGGGTAGCACTAACTTGGTCATACAGCTCGGCTGGTACGGACCAAGAAAGAACTTGTAGCCTTCAATTTATCGCTGAAACCACAATCAGTAAATCTTGCAGGTACGTTCTCTAAAGGTAACTATTTATATCACAAGTTGTGATTTAAAGTGAACCAAAGAGAAATCAAATCAGAAATATTTTTAGATATAAAACCAAATTGTAAACCATTGTTTGACAGTAAGAAGTAACACATTTCAATATATGCAACACTTAATGTAAATTAGACCTATGTAGCTATGGATAAAACATATAGTTGATAATTAAAATTCACATTGATATAGTACTGATGTTAGTTTATTAACGTGTGAAATAGACCTAACAAAGCCTCAATCTGATTATGATATTATTGATAAGATTTTGCTTATTTCTTGAATGAAAGACATGCAAGAACGGTGATGTACCATGTAAACGGCATTTTACAACCAAAAATGTTCTATAATTTACGTATGAATTTAATTAAGTATACGATATTTATTATAAGTTACATATAATTATATGATCTGTTTATTTTCAGATAGAAAAGATGGAGCACACATTCTGGAGAACTTTGCGTCTGAAAGAAATCACGGTGAATGACAACAACGTCACTTTGTACAATCAAGCTAATATAAAATTGCTGCAAAGTAACCAATCTATAGTTCATCATGGCATTGTTACAGAGGAACATTTTACAACTACAGCGTCAACCGTTGTCAATGTTCTGGTAACTCTCATCAGTGCGTTCATTATCTATTTCCTCACTAAGAAATTATCACAAGAAAAAAGGTCTTCCAATCAGAAGGAAAATCAGGATGAAGAGACGGATCCAACCTCCTGCGCAGTCAGTTACCCGGCCAATGAGGATGATGTCTCCATTCTGTCCAGGTTAACCTATAACTGGGTACAACCCCTTCTGATGAAGGACAGTAAAACGACCAGTCTGTCGTCTGAAGACATGTTTAAAATGCCAAACAGTCTTAACGTAAAGAAAGTACAGGAGGAGTTTTCCAAAAAACTGAAACCAGGAGTGAATATTGGTATGAAAACAGACAAGAAGAACCCGACCTTACTTAGTGCATTATACAAAGCCTACGGACTAGAATACTTTCTTCTTTGTGGTCTTCTAGAGTTGGTAGCGCACCTGATTAATTTCACAGGTCCTATCTCACTTGGTTTATTGTTGTCATTTTTCGAAAATGGTGACGAGCCATCACACACCGGATATCGCTATGCCTTCCTGTTGTTCTTGTCGAGTTTTGGAAAAGCTCTGCTAGACAGCAAATTTCATTTCACCCGTATGCATGTCTTTTTCAAAGTGAGAATTTCGATTATGACAGCTATTTATAAGAAAGCCTTGCGTATAAGCACCGTGTCTTTATCGAAATTCAGTACTGGTGAGATTGTCAATTTTCTCGGGACTGATACTGATAGAATGATGGGCTTCTGTCATTGTTTCCATGCTTTATGGAGTCTACCTTTCGAAACCATTATATGTATGTATATTCTGTATCAACTGGTTGGAATTGCAATGTTGGGAGGACTAGTTGTTGCCCTGATTCTCGTTCCCATAAACAAGATCATATCAACGAAACAAATTGCACTAGGCAAAGTGCTAATGGAACAGAAAGACAAGAGAACGAAGGTATGTATTATTCCAATCTATAGATTTTTAAAAAGATAAAAAATCGATTCCTTGGATTGTAATCTTGACTCGGATAGGTGTTTCATATCCAAATTTATTTTGGTTTTGATAACCTTTCATTCTCAGATCGACAGCAATATCATTGATATATTGATGATTTATTTTGCTTCCATAGTTGATGAACGAGGTGCTTGGCGGAATAAAGATCATCAAACTTTACACCTGGGAAGACCACTTTCAAAAGATGATTAATGAACTTCGTGACGCTGAGTTGCAGATCATTAAACGAAGAAAAGTAATTGGAGCCATAACTGGATACTTGTGGACTCTGACTCCGATCTTTATGACCGTACTGACATTCAGCTCCTACTCAATGATGGGAAATACCCTGTCCGCTTCAAAGGTAAAAACCATAGAATATAAATTCTCTGCTGTTACATTTGAAATTGTTTGGAAATATTCAACTTTATATCTAAAGCTCGAAGATGTTTGGAATGTTACGTTACCAATGTTCTCTACTTTTGTGAATTTTTACAGATGTTTGCAAGTCTGGCATTGTTTCTAAAACTCCTTGGATCACTTAATCATCTCCCTTGGGTATTCAATGGCATAATGGAAGCCGTCATTTCACTTGGAAGGATAGAGAAATTCGTGGCATTGGAAGATATTGACCTTGATGCTTATTACGAAACAATGAAAGGTAAAATTTAATGTTAATGCAGATGAAACGGTACTAAGTAGCTATACGCGATTAGAAAGTTGTTATGATTTAACATTAATATATCTGATTTTGATGTAATTCTTTGATTACAGAATCGAGGAAATGCGACAGTGTGATTTCGGTAAATACTGGACGATTTACTTGGGAAGGAGAGAAGGTGGATAACACTGATTCAAACGAAAACGAGATAAAACCAAAATGCGAGTCAGGGGAGACAACCAGTAAATCAGGAACACTTTGTCTTCGGGATATAACCGTTGACATTACTCAAGTGAGTAGCAAATATTGATCAATATAAGTCTAGCCGAAATAAAGAGTAATTTATATCATTTTTTTTAATTTTATCAACACAAAATTAAATTTCAACAAACATTTATTTCATTAATAGGGTCAATTCATAGGAGTGATTGGGAAAGTTGGCTCTGGTAAAAGTTCCTTCCTCAACGCTATACTTGCCGAAATGGCTCGGAAAGAAGGCGAAATCTCTGTGTCTAATCTGAAAAACGGGTTTGCTTTGGCGGATCAGGAACCTTGGATACAACAGGCATCTGTCCGAGACAACATTATCTTTGGCAGTCCGTATAACGCGGGAAAATACGCCGAGGTTGTTGACGCCGCATCTCTTAAAAAAGATATCGAGGTTTGTATGAACAATGTAAATAAATAATACTTTTGCGTTTGTTATCAACCAATTGTATTGTTCTATGAAATGGACGATGCAACAACTGCAGAAATATCAACACGCTCTTGATTTACTCTTTTAGATGTTACCAGCTGGAGATAAGACGGAAGTTGGTGAGAATGGCGTAACACTAAGCGGAGGTCAGAAAGCTCGACTTGCTCTAGCTAGGGCATTATATCAGGTAAACACTGTTTGTTATTATTTACTGTTATAATACTCATTGTAACATTCAGAAATAGATAAAGCCAATTTGTAACGTTGTTATACTTTTTTCGGTGATGTATTATTATCCTAAGGCGATGAAACAAACTCATTGTCAATTTGTACATGTATAACTTGATATCTTACTCTTACAGGATAAAGATGTGTACCTTCTCGATGACCCTTTAGCAGCCGTCGACGCTCACGTGGCACAACAAATGTATGACAAATGCATCATGGGATTACTAAAGCACAAGACCAGAATCCTTTGCACACATCACACTCAATTCCTTGGTGAAGCAGATTTAGTCATAGCCATGGATGACGGAATAATTTCAAAAATGGGTAAGTCAA